CTCTCCTTTCTCTCTCTCCTTTCTCTCTCTCCTTTCTCTCTCTCCCTCTCTCTCCCTCTCTCTCCCTCTCTCTCCCTCTCTCCTTTCTCTCTCTCTCTCTGTCTCTCTCTCTCTCTCCCTCCCCCCCCAGAAACAAGTCAGCGTTCACAATCACTGAGCTATGTTGGTTTGTTGCCCAGGTTGATCTCAGACTCCTGAGCTCAAGCCATCCTCCTGGCTCAGCCTCCCAAGCAGCTGGTCCTACAGGTGCATACCACCCCACCTCATGGCTGTGTCTACATGTCCCCCAAAGCCGCACGTGGTCATAGGTGGGGCTTTTTCAGAGGTGGCCGCATCTAGAGGGTGTGATGCTGGAAATGATTCTTGGTGCAATGCTAGGCTCAAGGGCACAGGATTAAGGGTGTGCATGCTAAGGGTCTGAGTAGCCTGGGTAAGATAAAAGGCACAGAAAGATGCTGATAAGGTCCCTTGCTTGCTTGCTTTTGCTGTCCTCTGCTTGCCATGAACTGTTTCTCCTCTGTGTTGCCCCTCTACAAAGCCAACCTGCCTTGGAGTCAGTTGATTATGGACTGAAACCTCTTCAAACTGTGAGCAAATAAACCTTTAATTTTGGGTGTTGGGTGTTTTGTCTCAGCAATGGAAAAAGTAACTAACACACCTGACTAGAAGCTTCTGGACGTTCTTTACCTGAATCAGCTCATTTAAACCCCAACAACTCCAATGATTATCCCTATCTTGCAAATGAGGCCACCCAGGAACTGAGAAGCCCTGGTCACCAAGCTGGCAAGGGTGGGAGAACACTTGGCTCCAGCAGGCAAACTCAGAGCCCACATCTTACCTAACACACATGGTGCCAGTGGACACAGAGGTGCAGCCTGCTCTCTCGGTGTCCCCAGCCCTTGATCCCGCAAAGCACGTCCAATACTGATGGAGGGACCCAGGATCAGGAGCCAAAGCCATCAGAGAACTGAAGGGGTGTCTCAGCAGCAGGACAAAAAACAAGATTAAGTTCATGCACACTGTTTAAAAAATAGTAGACAAGAGACATGACAATGGGGGAAATTAGAATCAGAGCCATCAAGAAGGTGAAAGCTGAGTGACCACGATGTTGGCCTGAGGGTCCCTCCTTCAAGGGCAGCCTCTGACACCATGGTTCCTCCCGACTACTCAAAACCATGGCCCTGGAAAAAAAACAACAACAACAAGAAGTTGCCCTGGCAGACATGAGCCATCCCCAGAGCACTAGATGCTGGGCGAACCCCATCCCAACCAGTGTGCTGGAGTGAGTGAGTTCAGTGCGACATCCACATCAGCTCACACTTTCCGAGTGTTGTTCGCTGACCTGTTCAGTTTTCTTTGGCAACCTTCCCCAGAGCGACTGCTCCCATCCTGTCTGCTAAAAATGACACGAGAAGGCCCCACGCTCCTCGGGCTGTCTCCTCACCATGACACAGAGCGGTCCCGCTGCATCCCTTCCTGCTCCCAGGTGCCTGGCACAGCCCCTCTCTCCTCTCCTGCCTCATCCACCCTTTCCTGCCCTTTACACCCACTTGGAGAAACTCCACAGATACACGGAGTCCTCGCAGTGTTAATCCTGCCGATCCTCAGTCACACTTTAACTCATTCCCTCTGGGCCAAGGATTAACAGCTGCCAGTGTCAGGGTCAGGGCTCAAGAGACCCCGAAGTGAGGAAAAGCTGCAGGGGAGGGAGGGACAGAGCCAGGGCAAGGAGGAAGAGGAGGGGCCCAGGCCGCAGCCCCGCAGAGCCTCAGCCCAGACGCAGCTGCCAGCAGAGGACGGAGGACGGACGGACGGGCAGCAGCGGCCCCGGGACGACTCTTACCGTGGCCACCACCCCAGCAGGTTCCATGGCCTTCAATGACCTCCTGAAGCAGGTGGGGGGCGTCGGCCGCTTCCAGCAGGTCCAGGTCGCCTTGGTGGTCCTGCCACTGCTCCTGATGGCCTCACACAACACCCTGCAGAACTTCACAGCTGCCATCCCCCACCACCACTGCCGGGTGCCCCCCAATGCCAGCCTCATTCCGGAGGAGGAGCTCGGGGCCTGGCTGCCCCGGGACGCACGGGGGAGGCCTGAGTCCTGCCTGCGCTTTGCTACCCCGAGGCGGGGACCACCCCTCACCAACAGCAGCACAGCCAACATCACGGAGCCCTGCGTGGACGGCTGGATCTACGACGACAGCACCTTCCCGTCCACCATCGTGACGGAGGTGAGGACAGTGCCCCTGCAGGGACGCACAGGCATCTGCACGTGCATAGACAGCACACATGCGCGTGCACACAGGCCTGGGAGCTGCTGGGTTGGAAGCAGAGCCCTCAGACCTGGAGCCTGGGAGCCAAGGTATCAGGGATGAGGCCTGAGCTCCCCCTCCCCACAGTGGGACCTTGTGTGCTCGCACCGGGCGCTCCGCCAGCTGGCTCAGTCCCTCTACATGGTCGGGGTGCTACTAGGTGCAGTGTCCTTCGGCCACCTGGCAGACAGGTCAGTGCAGGGCTCGGCCTGGGACGGGGTGGATGGGGGATCTGCCTCTGGGGGCTGCTTTGGGAACCCTCAGCACCCCAGCCAGCTCTCACCGGCCCCGCCCTGCCCTGCTGAGGTCTCCCCTCCCCCAGGCTGGGCCGCCGCAAGGTGCTGATCCTGAACTACCTGCAGACAGCCGTGTCGGGGACCTGCGCCGCCTATGCCCCCAACTTCCCCCTCTACTGCACCTTCCGGCTGCTCTCTGGCATGTCCCTGGCTAGCATCGCCATCAACTCCATGACGATAAGTGCGAACCGACCCCAGCTCCCTCCCTGCCCGTCCCCTCCCGTTTAGAAAGGTGACCAGAGACACCCTGTCAGAGCGGCAGTGCACCCAGGGGGCAGCGGCAGGCAGGCGCGTGCCGGGTGAGAGGCAGTGGGGGAGTGGTGCGGACTGAATCAAAGGAGACCAGGCTGTCCAAGACCCTGCCACGCCTGGCTGCTCAGGCCAAGAGAGCATCCACTTCCTGGATAGAATATCCACTTTCTAATGCTGAAATGCTGTTTCTAATCAGTCCCTCAGATAAGGACTCAGAGGCTAGGGAGGGAGGAGTAGATTTATCCCAGAAAGGAACCCAGGTCCTGGGGTCCCCTGCACTAGGAAAGGAGCTGCCCTGGGCTCCACTGGGACAGGACATCCCAAGTCCCATCTTTCCAGTCCCAATCCAGAGCCCCATGGCCAGGCAGCCCTGCAATAGAGAAAGTCACTGAGGGGACCACTGAGGGGACCACAGAGGCACAGCTGCTGTCAGGACAGGGGTCGGGGCACGTGAAGATGTGGACCTCTGGCCAGAGCACGGGGCAGGAGCGGGCCAGTGTGGGCAGCCCCAAACCCTCCCTTCCCCCACACCTGCTCTCCCTGGAGCCTGGAGGCCCAGGCTAGGTCTGCCCTCCCCATGTCCAGTGCGATGCCTGCCCTGTGCTGTCCTCTCACAGATGTGGAGTGGATGCCCATTCACACGCGCGCCTACGTGGGCACCCTGACTGGCTATGCCTACAGCCTGGGCCAGTTCCTGCTAGCCGGCCTGGCCTACGCCGTGCCTCGGTGGCGCCACCTGCAGCTCCTGGTCTCGGTGCCCTTCTACGCCTTCTTCCTGTACTCCTGGTGCGTGGCCGGTGGTGGAGAGGGGGTGCTGCAGGGCCCAGTCACCTCCCCAAAGCCCCTACTCCACGCACAGAGGTCCCCAGGCCAGCAGGCACAGAGCTGACCCTGGGGACAGAGTCCTGCCCTGAAGTCCTCGGGAGAGGGATGCAGCAAGGCTCCCAGATCCCCAACCCTAGCAAACCCCACGGTGGCCTGGCCCCAGCCTGGCACAACCCTGAGCCTGCCAACCCCCAGGTTCTTCACCGAGTCGGCCCGCTGGCTCTCCTCTCGAGGGAGGTTGGACCTCACACTGAGCACCCTGCAGAGAGTGGCCCGGATCAACGGGAAGCAGGCAGAGGGCGCCAAGCTGAGCCTGGAGGTGAGGATCCCAGACCTCTCAGACCAGAGCAGGGGCTTCTCCAGATCACTTCGAGAGGCCTGAGCCCCACCCACCCCCAGGTGCTCCGGACCAGTCTGCAGAAGGAACTGACCCTGGGCAAAGCCCAGGCCTCTGCCGTGGACCTGCTACGCTGCCCTGCCCTCCGCCGCCTGTTCCTCTGCCTCTCCATGCTGTGGTAGGCTAGGCGCAGGTGGACAGAGACACGGGCGCACAAGCGACCACCTGTCCCAGGGACAGAACCAGCATGAGGACGTGGATGCCAGGAAAGGGGGGAAACATCCACAGGCCTACTATTCGGGGCAGCCACAGCCCAGGGACGTCCCTAGACCAAATGCCCTGCAGTCCCGACTCAGTCTCGGTCCCTTACCAGCCCTGCGCCAATCCCACCAGGGCCAGGGGCCTCCAGGGTGGCCTGGCAGACACCACAGTGTCCTGCAGGGCCCCCAGGGTAACTGGCTCCTGGTGCCTCACAGAAACAGACATGAGGGGACCTGCGCCATCTCCAGAGCAAACGCTGGCCAAGGACCACAGGCTCCCAGAGAACCTTCCCTGTCCACACCCCGCCCGCTTTGCATCGCCTCAGTCCTGCGTCCGAAGGAGCAGCCTCACTCCAGCCCAGAGTTCTCTCAGTTGCAGATTCTGTCCAAAACCTGAGTTTCACTTTGTGAGCTCCTGACGTCTTCCTTAAACATCTGTCCCAGCACCACAGACAGGTTCCAGGCGGCCCTGTCCCTCCCCAGCACCTTAGCCCTGAAATGTGGCCTGGACATTGACCTGCCCTCCTTCAGCTTGGCATCAGCAGATAAGATAAAGACAGAAACCACACAGTTCCCACACAGCGACTGTGTGAACCCCACACGAGGGGACCTGGTTATCAGGAGGCTGGGGCCCCAGGGTGCTCAGGGACCACCCAGCGCTCAAGTGAGCAGCTATGAGTGCAGTTAAATGTCCAAAGAAACGTCACCAGGGGCCCAGGCTGCTCACCCTGCTTCTCAGCACCCTTTCTTCAGCCTGCTAACCAGCCCCTCCCGCCCCTGCTAGGTTTGCCACCAGCTTTGCCTACTACGGCCTGGTCATGGACCTGCAGGGCTTTGGGGTCAGCGTCTACCTGATCCAGGTGATCTTCGGTGCTGTAGATCTGCCTGCCAAGCTCGTGTGCTTCCTGGTCATCAATTCCCTGGGCCGCCGGCCAGCACAGGCAGCCTCCCTCCTGCTGGCAGGCATCTGCATCCTGGTGAATGCAGTGATACCCCGAGGTGAGCACCCAGACTTGGCCCTTCTTCTCCCAGCCCCATTCCCGGTGCCCGAGCCATCCTCTCCTTTCTCCCCAGACCAGACAATCGTCCGCACCTCCCTCGCGGTGCTGGGGAAGGGGTGCCTGGCTTCCTCCTTCAATTGCATCTTCCTATACACGGGGGAGCTGTACCCCACCATAATCCGGTGAGTGGGGTGGGGGCGGGGCTGGGGGACGACATCCAGAGAATGATCAGACCCAGCACCCACTGTAGCCACTCAACTCGTGACTCAGGTCTGGCCAGCGCAGTTCGAACACCTGACCCCAGAAGATCTCGGGGGTCCTCAGCCAAGGCAAGGTGGGGAGCATAGGAACACATCTCAGAGGCAGACTAAGGAGTCCCCAAAACACAAGCTGGAAGCTGCCACCAATCTGAGCCTCATCATAAGCCAAGTACGCGCAACCACGATCACAAACACAACGTCCCTTCCAACTGCAAGAGCAATGCCAACTGTATAGGCCAGGAAAACATCACCAGCCCTTGGGAGCCCAAAGACGAGGACAGTTAGGAAACGTGTCTATTTTAAGAGCTGGATGCAGAATTCATCTGAGATGCCACGGCAACGCCAGGCTTCCCTTGGCCACTTGGGTGAGAAGCCCAGGGCCCCAGGCACCACACCTTTGCGAGACCCAGGAAAGTGCTGGTGTAAAGCACTTGGCACGTGCAAGCCTGTTGTGAACTTTCACCAGGATTAACCCAGCTGTCCTCAGGAGAAGCCAGCGAGGCAGACACCACCGCTCTGCCCATCTCATGAATGCAAACGGAAGGCACAGGGAGGTTGGATGCCTTCTCCGAGACCACACAGCCAGAGAAGCCAGGGAGCCAGCATTTGAGCCCCACACAGGATGCCCTCTGAGACTACTTCTCACCCTCCTCTCCCTGCAATGCTCCTCTCATGTTCCTAGCAGGCAGAGTCCTCGTCCTTACCAGGGGCCGCATCCAGTGGCTCTGTGTGCAGCTGGGGCCATGAAACCCCAGCTGTACAGGCAGCCTAAGAACCATTGACCTAACCCTCTCACCAACCCTCCCACTGGACAGCTCAGGAAACTGAGGGCCAGGGAGGGAAAGGGACTTGCTCAAGGCCGCACAGAAAGTTAAGAGCAGAGGCAAAATTCAATCTCGCGACTCCCGGTTCCCTTTTTAAAGTCACCAGAATGCAGGTCGAAGTCACCTCCTGACATATGGAGCAGGATGGCAGCACAGGCCAGGGTTGGGCAGGGTCCCGGCTGAGGCCAATACCCGACCGACCTCTAACCCCAACCCCGCAGGCAGACGGGCTTGGGCGTGGGCAGCACCGTGGCCCGGGTGGGCAGCATCGTGAGCCCCCTAGTGAGCATGACCACTGAGCTCTACCCCACCGCTCCCCTCTTCATCTTCGGCGCCATCCCTGTGGCCGCCAGCGCAGCCACAGCCCTGCTGCCCGAGACGAGGGGCCAGCCGCTGCCCGACACTGTGCAGGACCTGGACAGCAGGTAGGGCCCAGGGGCAGGCCAGCCTCCCGCCCAAAGAGCCCTGCCCAACTCCCCGCCTGGCCACACACTCAGAGATTGCTCTCCCCACCCAGGAGGACAGGGAGACTGAGGCAGCCACAGCAGGAGCAGCAGAAGCAGATGGTGCCGCTGCAGGGCACCGCTCCGGAGAAAAACGGACTCTGAGGCCGGCCTCCTGTGGGCCCAAGCCCTGTCCCAGGAGGGGCACAGCCATGCAGGGTCTGTGGCCCAGGGAGCCCTGCCCAAGACCACACCATTAAAAGCTTTGACTGTGCGGTGTCGAATGCAATCGTCCCCAGGAGCCGTACAGTGCTGCCCCACCTCCGCCCTGCCCCATACAGGCCACCCCAGCCTTCTACTAACCAGCCCAGACCGTGAGAAAAGTCCCTCTTAGCTGCAGTGTGGGTACATGCCTGGAGTCCAGTGCTCTGGGAGCCTGAGGCAGGAGGACTGCAAGTTCCAGCCCAGCCTGGGCCACTTAGCAACTTAGCAAGAACTTGTCTCAAAATAAAAAATAAAAACAAAATAAAAAGGCAGGCTGGGGATTCAGCTCAGTGGCACTGCGCCTGCCTCTCAAGCGCAAGGTCCCGAGTTCAATCCCTGGAATGGAAAAAAAAAAACGAAAGAAAGAATTAATCAAAAGGGGCTCAGGGTGCAGCTCAGTGCAAACGCGCTGAGTTCGATCCTCGGTACTATCAGATGAAAAGGAAAGGTCTCTTACTTTGGCTCCTTCCCTCCCGCTCTAATTTATTCAGATATTTCTGAGTCAGGGCCAGGGATTTGGCTCAGTGGTGCTGCTGCCTGCCTCGAAAGCACAAGGTCCTGAGTTCAGTCACCAGTACCAACAAACAAACAAACAAATATTTCTGAGAGCTTTAGCTAGAAACCTCATGTCCAGCCCCTCCCAGAAATTGACAAGAGAGCAAGCTGAACACAGCCAATCAGGGGCTTGGTTTCAGCTCCTCACCCCTGGAGAGACCAGGGGAGAAAATGAACCACAGCTGTGACCTCAGGCCTCACAGCTGGCGCCCTGAGTCCCCAGGTAACCGCAGGTCCAGACCCACGCCAGCTGTCCCTTCTGCTCTGGGGTTGGCTCCCTCCTCTGGCTCGCCAAGCCTCTGCCACCCCTAAGGGCCACAGCTGGAGGAGGGCGGGGACTTAGGGGACCTGGGCCCCAGCCACAGGTTAAGGCCTCTCCCCTCCAATAGCCTTCTCAGGTGAACGCTGTTATTATGCTCCCTGCTTTACAGATAAGGAGATGCAGACGCAAAGCAGCCTCAGAACTGCCTAGGTTTGCACAGCCACTGGACTGTGGCTGCAAGATTCAACCCAGAGAACAAGAACCAGAATGGGGTGCCCATCCCTCTATGCCAGGGGTTGTGGGGCCTGTAACCTCAGCTTCTGCACCCCAGGGCCCCCTTTCTCCTTCCTGCTGGGGTGAGGAGGGGGCAGGGAGGAGAGGGATTGAGGAGGAGCTGTGAAGGACGAGGAAGCAGGGTCAGAGTGCATGACTCGGGGACAGGTGGCCCGTCAGCACCTGCAGATGCAGCACTGGGGCCTGCTGTGCTCTGCTGGCCAGCACCTGCCCCAGTCCCTCGGCCCCAGGGACAGCCACAGCCACTGTTCTCCAGGAGGCACTGGCTGGGGTGGGTCGCGCTGGGCTGTCTGCCAGGGCAGTGGCCTGGAGGGCTGGGGGGAGTGGTGGCCACTCTGAGAGGATGCTCAGGGCCGGGCTGGCACCGGGAAACTGCCATCACCCACCTCCCGGAGCCCCCGAAGATGTGGCTTTCTTGGGTTGCCGACCCCCGTGCTCCCTGAGGACTCCGTCAGTGCCTGAGGACCACGGACCACCTTGGCTGCCGGTCCTCCTCACCAGCCTACAGCAGGGGACAGGTCTGAGACCTGGTGGACACCAGGTCCAGCCTGCTTCTGCAGACCTGGGGGTCTTGTGTCTCTTCCTGACCCTGCCTCCAAATCCCAGGAGCGGCCCCCTTGTGTTCTGACTCCAGTGGGCCGCTCACCCCGCCACAAGCCCTGTATGCTAGTTAGAAGCTTGGACTCACCACCCCTGGCTCCTGGCCCCACACATCCCATACTCCTGAGCACACAAAACCTGTGTTAGTCTGGTTCTCGACCCGTAAGGCGATGCCTGAGGAGGGCTAACTTTATTTAAAAGAGGCTTATTTGAGCTCACGGTTGATTCTATGGCTGAGGGCACCCCGCTCATTGTTACCAGATGAGAGTCATTTGTGATCATTTTCAAGCAAATATTTACATTTGGTGTTGACAAATAAAAGGCAGGCTGGAACCCAAGGCCAAGGAGGGCAAGCAGCCTGCAGAGCTGGAGGCGGGGCGGAGATGGGCAGATTCTCCAGGACTGTCACACAGGAGCAGCCCAGTAGTGGCTGCGGGTCTCAGACGTCGGCCCCACACCTACAAGAGACTTGGTCTGTGCGCTTGTGGCAATGCATTCACAACAGCAATGGAAACCAATTTGTACACCGTTCTCAGGCCCCTCCAGGAGGCCAGGGTGGGGGGTGGGCTTAACTGTCCATGCGCAACAGTTTTGGTGGAAGTGGGGCTTTGATGTCCTGATCTCCACAGGGCTGGCCACTCCCTGTTCGTGTCTCACTGGGTACACAGGGTTTAGCTCAGCTGCTTGGCCCTGTAGATGCTTAAACTGGGGACTCCCAGACGCCACTCTGCTGACCTCCTGCTTGTACTCAGTAGGTGTGTGAACATTTCAGAAGAAAAAAATGGTCCTAGGTAGAGGGAGCAAAAGAAAAATGCTTTGGGGACTCCCTGGCCCCTTGTGCTGTCTTCAAAGAAATCATCTTTGATGCTCTCCACGATGTGCCTGTCTCCATGTGACAGGCTGGTGTTCTAGAACTGAGGCTGCATCCATGGTCAGCTCCCAGGTAAATGGGTCCCACTACTCCTGAGCCTGCACCCCGAGAAGCCCACAGCCAGCAGGGAGCATCGTGCAAGCTGCACTCACAGAAGAAGCCAAGCCACCTGAGCACCCAAGCTGGCCAGGGTTCAGAGGCAGAAAATGCTGAGTCTGAACTGGACACCTGGAAGTGGGGCCACCATTAGTCACCAAAGAGGGAAGGAGAGCAAGGACTGAGGTGACAAAGGAGGACAGCCCAACAGAAGGACAGAGCTGCCCAGGGCTCGGTGATGTCACTTGGCCATGCCAAGCTGCCTGCCAATCCACTTGCAACCCTAAAGAAGCATCGTCCTTTCAAAAGCATTAAGGATGGAAAAGAGGCTGGGGCTGCCGCTCGCCGCACAGTTCCTGCCCGGCATGCACAGTGTCCTGGTTTGATGCCCAGCAGTGAAAAAACTAAGAATGGAAAATGAGAATCTTCAGCCACCAAGGAATAGCAGAGTCCACATTACCTCCTGCCGTAGACAGCCAGAGAACTGCGGGGAGATGGGAAACAGTGTTCTCACCTGGGACAGTGGCACCGCTTCTGTGAAAAGGAACCCAGCCCTCGGGCCCCGTCTTCCACCTGGAAGCATCCCTGGGACTGCAGTGCAGAGGTCTGAAACCTTCAGGAGTGGGGCTAAGGAAGGAGGAGCTCACAGCAGCCAGGGCAACTCAAATGTGCAGATGAGGAGAGAGCTGTGCACGCTTGCAGCTCCACAGGCCTGCAGAATATTCTTTAAAAACTCTAACCTCGATAAAAAGAAGGCAGAACCCAACTTAAAATAGGCCCCGAACAGAACACACACTTCACTGCAGAAGACATGCGGACAGCTCAGCATCATCAGCGACCAGAAAATGCATATCGGAGCTCCGTGAGACCCCACTGTGCAGCCCCCCATGTGGCTGGGAACTCACCCTGGGATGGCCCAGCCACCTCGGGCTCAGGGATCTCCCCAGCTGGACCCTCTGACTGGACTTCAGCTCCCCGACACCATGTGACCAGGCTCAGCCCGAGACAGCTACACCCCGGACTCCTGGGACGGCCAGGCACAGGAGGCCCCAGAGAGCCCCACGGCAGCAAGGATAGTGTGTCTTTGCCGACACTGCTCCAACCGAGTCCTCCAGCCTTCCCCACGATTCCTGGCCACCCAGTAGGCTATCAACAAACTCCAAATGAACAAGAAAAATAAAGTAAAAGTCTGGCCATAGCAAGGGGTTGCCAAGAATGTGGAGTCACTGAAACTCACACCTTGCTGGAAGGGAGGTGAACTTCAGGAACACTTTGGAAAACCATCCGAGAGTTTCTGATAAACTTAAAGCAGTCAACGTTCCACCTGCGTGGGTTCTACAGCATGGGTCCAACCACCATGGATCTGAAGTATTCTTAGAAACTGCATCTGTGCTGAGCACGTCCAGGCCCTTTTCCTTGTTGTTCTCCCCAAACCACACAGTGCAACACCTGTCCACATAGCACTTATGTCCTGTTAGGTTATGAGGGACCTAGAGATGATGCAGCGGGTCTGGGAGCATGTTCCTGGGTTCCACATGAACCCTGCGCCATTTCACCAGCGCAACTGAGCATCCTCAGACTGGTGTGTTCGGGGATCCCGGCACCAGCCCCTGACCTTTTGTGACACAGCACTGCCACCGCGAGATATGAGGTGTTCACCCGAGAGAAACATGGTGCATGCTCACTCACGGTCCCCAAAGTCACAGTGACTTCACTTACACTCATTGAAAACTCAGAACAACACAAACCTTCACCGACAGGTGAGGACAACAGCCTCCAGCTACACATAATGACCACTGCTCAGCAATAAAAGGGACCCAACTACCCCTGCACTCCTGCTGTGGTTCGATCCTGAGACCTCCCAGGTGCCTCCCATACGCAGAGGTGAGGCTCTGCGAAGGCGACTGGACCATGACGGTGCTGTGCTCCTCAGAGGACTCGTCCCAGCCAGGGAGGGACACGTGTACCCTGCCCAGTCCCTACCCCGAAACCACCCCGCCTCCAGGCTTCACCTGCCGCAAGTCAGCTGGAGCCCCCAGAGTCCAACCAGCTTCCAAGAGCCCCACCTCCACATGCAAGAGGCTCTGGGGTGTCTAGATCTGAACCATGACACCCAGCTACTCAGGAGGCTGAGGCAGGGGTCACAAGTCCAAGCTCAGCCTGGGCAACTTGGTGGCGTAGCCAGGTCTTATCTCAAAACAAAAAGAGAAGAAAAAGAAGCCCAGGGTCTCCAGCATTACAGGAGAAAAAAAGAATTAGGACATGGACGAATGTATATTTGTTACGGTTTACATCAAGAAGGTCCCTCAGAGGCCGTGAGGTGAGCAGCTCT